ACAAGAATCCAATCGGTCCAGGTGATATCGGCAAAAAAATATTTTCGAAGAATTGCTATATCTCAGGAACCGCTCAACCGATCGAGCTGAAATTTAGCATAAATTTGAGTCTCAGTAGTACCAATTAGCAGCCAGAATTTCAGCATGTTTGCTTCAATAATTCTCGAGTTATGGGGACAATTCTGGACATACGAACACACATGTGCACACATGCCTACTCATATACAGACATTTTTTAAAAACATTATTTCTTCACGTTTCATGACATTTCTAGGCATTTCCACCCAAAATTCAGAAATCGAAAAAAATCATGATTGCAATGCTTCCATTCGGAAGCAAAAACAAGTCGTGGTCTTCGACAATCGCAATTTTCCGACCATACTCAGAACAGTCGACTTACTGTTTTTTTTTCAAAGATTTAAAAAATGTTCCTTAATAATTATGAGTAAGTAGTAATTATAGTGTTGGAAAAAAAAATTAAATGTCATGAACAGTACAGTAGTAATTTTCAGGCGAGAGATATTTACTTCAGTTTGACAGGAAAAAGTCATGAAATTGCAAAGTTTACTGTAAATTTAATGAAATTCAACAATTTTCATCAGCATGTGAAGCGGAGAACTTTTCAAGTTTTTGAATTCTCATTTAAACGATGAATATTCTGTATTAAATCACTCTGTATTTTCGATTGATAAACAAATTATGTTAAAATTGATCAAATCATTTAGGCCACAGGAAAATAGAATTATTCAACTTTCTCAATGGTGCGTTTGCTGGGGTTTCCTTCAAAGTTAATTGCAATCAATAGTTAGAATTATGAGGGATTCTGACATTTTTGACATTAAGTATAGAAGAATCTGAATGCAACACTGGAAATGATAATCGATTGTTTAACTTTGAACAAATAGTAACAATATTTAAATTAAAAATTTCTGATATGACTGAACAAAAACAGGTGTTGGATATCATCAACGCGGTTGACTCGGAAACTTGAAAAATACGAGGACCGATCCCTTGGGGTTGTAAATCCCAGGTACACCAGAACTGCAGCACGCCAATGAGTATCCAACGATTGAGAAGGGAACGTAAACCGTCTCAATGTATGTGGGGAAGAAAAAAGATTGAGGGCGTTTTAAATGACAAATAACAGTTTCACTAAAACACCTTAAATTTAATTACACAAAAAAAATTGATTGTTCAATGATGACACAAATGGTGACACAAATGGTTTCACAGAATTTACATTGTCTATTGAGAATTAATTAATATTGCACTTAACAATTCGATAGTAAAAATAATTGCACTTGAAAGTTTATAGGAAATAATTGCACTTCAAAATTTAGAGACAAACTGTTAACTAAACTGAAGATGATTTGGATAACTTGAATATTTAAACTTGGATAAAGATGAGAGGCTCAGTGAGAAAACGGTCTTCACTGGCCCTAGTCTCGAAGGGTACTAACTCTAAAATTGGAGAGAAAATGTAAAGTTCTCGTTATTTTTGGGAAGGGATGTGCAAATTCTTATTGGCTAGGTGATATTGCTATCTTAAAAGTAATTGGTTGAAGAAAGTGGGAGGGCGTATCTGGAAAAACCGTTGGGACCGACGAGAGGCCTTTTCCAACTCTGGCATACCCTTTTTTTTTGCCACTGGGGAAAAATAAGGGATGCGACGGTTTGCTACGTGGACATTTGGCTGGCACATGTTGGGCCCTGCACTGGGAATCCTTCCCACTTTCTTCAATTTCTAAGTTTATGACTCAACCGGAATACAAAGGGATTTTAAGTCCTACGTTCGAGTTGGAGAGGCCTGGTCCANTTGATCAAATCATTTAGGCCACAGGAAAATAGAATTATTCAACTTTCTCAATGGTGCGTTTGCTGGGGTTTCCTTCAAAGTTAATTGCAATCAATAGTTAGAATTATGAGGGATTCTGACATTTTTGACATTAAGTATAGAAGAATCTGAATGCAACACTGGAAATGATAATCGATTGTTTAACTTTGAACAAATAGTAACAATATTTAAATTAAAAATTTCTGATATGACTGAACAAAAACAGGTGTTGGATATCATCAACGCGGTTGACTCGGAAACTTGAAAAATACGAGGACCGATCCCTTGGGGTTGTAAATCCCAGGTACACCAGAACTGCAGCACGCCAATGAGTATCCAACGATTGAGAAGGGAACGTAAACCGTCTCAATGTATGTGGGGAAGAAAAAAGATTGAGGGCGTTTTAAATGACAAATAACAGTTTCACTAAAACACCTTAAATTTAATTACACAAAAAAAATTGATTGTTCAATGATGACACAAATGGTGACACAAATGGTTTCACAGAATTTACATTGTCTATTGAGAATTAATTAATATTGCACTTAACAATTCGATAGTAAAAATAATTGCACTTGAAAGTTTATAGGAAATAATTGCACTTCAAAATTTAGAGACAAACTGTTAACTAAACTGAAGATGATTTGGATAACTTGAATATTTAAACTTGGATAAAGATGAGAGGCTCAGTGAGAAAACGGTCTTCACTGGCCCTAGTCTCGAAGGGTACTAACTCTAAAATTGGAGAGAAAATGTAAAGTTCTCGTTATTTTTGGGCAGGGATGTGCAAATTCTTATTGGCTAGGTGATATTGCTATCTTAAAAGTAATTGGTTGAAGAAAGTGGGAGGGCGTATCTGGAAAAACCGTTGGGACCGACGAGAGGCCTTTTCCAACTCTGGCATACCCTTTTTTTTTGCCACTGGGGAAAAATAAGGGATGCGACGGTTTGCTACGTGGACATTTGGCTGGCACATGTTGGGCCCTGCACTGGGAATCCTTCCCACTTTCTTCAATTTCTAAGTTTATGACTCAACCGGAATACAAAGGGATTTTAAGTCCTACGTTCGAGTTGGAGAGGCCTGGTCCATTGTAAAACAAAAAAAAAGGAAAAACAAGTTTGAACAGGACCCAGGCTCTCGACAAGTATGAATGGATAAAATTTTCCCCAATTAAAATAGAAAATAAACGGTATCTGCACCGAACACACTGGGGGGGTTGAGAGTTTTTTAACAAAATGATCAACTAAAATAATCTCTGAATTCTTAAGCTCATGAACTTGTTCTACTTATAATATGATTTGAATGCACTTGTTTCGCTGAATTCTTTTAAACAAACAAAATTCTCAATGTCCATTAATGCAGTCTTTGATCTTTTTTCTCACTTTCGATTCCACGAAATAAAGGGGCCACTTTACGCACACTGCGATCGAAGATTCCTTTGATCGTTTTGACCTTGATAGAGCGAATGACTCCATCACTGCCTGGAAAGGCTTGGATGACCCTGCCAATGGCCCATTGGCGAGGAGGTAGGTTGTCCTCTTTCATAAGGACAATGGAATCTTCTTTGATGGGATGTTCTCCTGATGTCCACTTCGTTCTGGCAATTTGCTCATTGAGGTACTCCTTGTGCCACCTTTTCCAAAATTCCTGCTGTTTCTTTTGAATAATTTCCCAGCGGGATAATCGATTGGAAGGAGTGAGGCCCCTATCTGGCTCTGGTAAGCTAGTCAAAGAGTCACCCGTAAGGAAGTGGCCAGGGGTGAGAACAAGAATATCATTGGGGTCAGTGGATAGAGGAGTTAAAGGACGGGAATTAAGAATTGCCTCGATCTCAATCACAAAAGTGTTGAATTCCTCAAAGGTCAGCAAATCGTCCGAGATCCTCTTCAAATGGTGTTTGAAACATCTGACTCCTGCCTCTCAAAGTCCTCCGAAGTGAGGAGTGAGTGGTGGAATAAAATGCCAATTTATTCCTTGGTCAGTGAGATTTCCACGAATCTTCTCGTTGTGCTCCTTTGATTGCAGTTGTGAGTATAATTCCTTAATGTCATTATTAGCTCCAACAAAATTTGTTCCATTATCAGAGTAAATATGACAGGGTTTGCCTCTTCTAGCAATAAATCGTTTAAATGCTGCCATAAAACCCTCGGTGGTGAGGTCACTGACCACCTCCAAATGTACAGCCTTGACAGTCATGCATACAAATACCGCAACCCAGCCCTTGACCTGTGTCTTATTTCTGAATTTTTTCTCTTTCATGAGAAAAGGACCACAATAATCCACTCCGACGTTCAGAAATGGTCTAGTCTCAGTAACTCTGGTCTTTGGTAAATCTCCCATGATGTAATTACTGGGTGGAGGACTCTGACGAATGCATTTAGTGCAATTTATTATTACTTTCCTCACTTGTCTTCGACCATCAATTAACCAATATTTTCTGCAAAGAGAATACAGAGTGGTTTGAGCTCCGGAATGGTAATTAATTAAATGTTCCAGCATGATGAGCGAATTGGAGAAAAACTGTTCCTTAGGTAATAATAATGGATGCTTTTGTGCATAAGGGATTGGAACATTTTTCAATCGACCACCGACTCGTAATAAGCATTCCTCATCGAGGAAGACACTCAAGTGCCTCAACTTGTGTTTTTTACCAAGAGAAGAATTTTTCTTGAGTTCCTTAATTTCATCAGAGAATTCTTCAGCTTGAATTGCCTTTATAATTTGATTGTTGGCATTGTTTAATTCTTCAGCAGTTAATGGCCCTCGATGTTTTGTTGTAAATCTCAAGCAAAGAGCTACAATTCTTCTCAATTTAATCAGTGATAAATATCTTGTCAACAGATCATTTTTTGCTGAAATTTTTGTTGCGAGACATTGAGTTTTTCTCATCTCTGGAATCTCAGCAGGGATTTTAAGCTCGCTGATGGGCCACGTAGATTCCGCTTTATTGAGCCAATGTGGTCCATGCTTCCATTGCAGATTCTCAGTGAATTCGAGGGCCATCTGTCCTCGAGAAATGTGATCTGCTGGGTTTTGATCAGTCCTGACGTGTCGTCATTCCGCGTTTCTTACTTTCTGCTGTATTCCTGAGACTCTATTTGCCACAAAGACTACTAATTTGTGTGGTTCAGTGTTCATCCAATGTAATGCAATCATTGAATCAGATCAGAATACAGTACGAGAAATCTGATGACTGAGAGCTTTCTTCACAGCTTCATATAAGTCAACAAGGAGCAGAGCTGCACAAAGTTCTAATCTAGGTAATGATACTTGTTTCATTGGAGCTACTCTGGATTTGGCACAGAGTAGACTCGTCTGGGAATTTCCCTGATCATCCATTGTTTTCAAATAAATGCAAGCACCATAAGCCTTTTCACTTGCATCGTAAAAGCCATGTAACTGAATTTCTTTTGCATTGGAAATAATTATTTTACGATCAACGGATTCGTCCTTCAGTTGCATTAACTCATCAGTATATGATTTCCACTCTGTGTGAAGTTTTAATGGTACAGGATCATCCCAATCAAATTGTTCTTTCCACACTTTTTGCATAATTATTTTCCCTCTGATGATAATTGGGTCGAGGAGGCCAAGTGGAACGAAAATTTTTGCCAGATCTGATAGAATACTTCTTTTGGTAAGTTTAACTGTCTTAATGATTGGTTTTACTGTATATACAATGGTGTCTCTCTGGGGGTCCCAGTGCACCCCAAAGGCCTTAATAGTGGCATCCTTGTCGCTCTCCAACTGAAGGTTCACACTGCCTTCAGGTAGACTTTCGAGTAATTGAGGGTGATTGGACGCCCATTGTCGAAGATTCAAGCCATCTCTCTTTAAGACTGTCGTAATATCATCACGTAGCTGTAATGCTTCTTGGAGTGACTCAGTTCCAGTGAGAAGATCGTCCACATATAGATCTCTCTTGATTCGAAGAGCTGCTTCAGAATAATCCTCTTTTTCATCATCTGCCAGTTGAGATAAACAACGTATCGCTAAATAAGGGGCAGATGCAAGTCCAAAGGTGACTGTATTCAACTGGAAAGTTTTGACTTGATTGGCTGAATTGAACCATAATATCTGTTGAAATTTCCTATCTTCCTTTCTCACTCAGAATTGACGATACATTTTTTCAATATCGGCGGTTAATACAAATTGGTATGAGTGAAATCGAAGTAAGAGTGAAAAAATGTCGTCTTGGATCTTTGGACCAATCATCAGTGAGTCATTCAATGAGATAGCCGTCTCACTTGTCTTTGCCGATCCATTGAAGACCACTCAAACCTTAGTAGTCAGGCTAGTAGTCTTGATGACCGAGTGATGCGGCAGGTAGAAACCTTCTCGAGCATTTGGGTCATTCTCGACTTCGGACATATGGCCGAGGTCGATGTACTCTTGCAGGACCGCCTTATATTGATGCCCCAACTCGGGGTTTCTGATGAATTTTTTCCGCAGCCTTCTTAACCGTGATTCAGCAATTTATCTAGTGTTGCATAATGCTGCCTTTTTCTCATTGAAAGGCAAGGCCACAATGTATCTTCCTTTGCTGTCACGATCGACATTTTGTTGAAAGTGTTCCTCGCAGAGTTGCTCTTCTTTGGACAAGTGACGTTCACTGGGAATTTCTTCGATTTCCCAGAATTTTTGAACATCAAATTAAGATTCTGTAGTGAGGTTACATTGTACTGCATGTGAATTATTGTGTGATGGTTTGGCCAGTGGATTTCCACCCAGAATCCATCCCAATTGGGTTTGTTGAAGGATTACATCTGGATCTTTAGGATCATTTAATCGTATCTGGCCTTGACAAAGCATGGATAAAGTAGTTCCAACGCTTATCAAAATAACAACTGGCGCTGGACGATCAAATAGTGGATCGGCCGACTTAATGTTTTTAGGGATTTGTAAATCACTCCTGTCCACTGGTTCCATTGGAAATAATCCACCAATGTGGTCTACCGTGAGGAAATTCAAGGATTTGTTGAATGAGGTGAGTCTTGACTGAATGGTCGTCCTCACGAGAGAATTCGCGGCAGTAGTGGCGTCGTTCAATCCTTCGACTCTTATTGTGAGTTTTTCTCGTGATAGCCTCAATTTATTGGCCAATGCTTCTGTCATAAAATTGGTGCCAGCAGCAGTATCTAAAATAGCTCGACATTGAATAGGCTTCTGTTGAGAGTCCATGATATTCACGACAGCAGTAATTATGCACTCTCGAGATGGCAAAGTGGCCACTAAGGCGATAGTTTTTGCTTGATGTGCAGCTCTCATTACTTTTGTTTCCTCATCATTTACATGTAGACTAGTGTGGTGTTTCTTGTGGCATGTGGAGCAGGTAGACGTCTTGCACACCCTAGTTTTATGACCCTTCTGTAGACACAGCTCCGCAGTACAGGCAGCCTGAATCCTGTCTAGAGGGGTGAGAGCGAGTACCTTCTCGCAGGTAGAAAAAGTGTGTTGACCCTTGCAATGAGGGCAACTGTTGGTAGCAGCGTTCGTCAATAGAGTTTGAGTACGATTTTTATTCTCTTTACTGTGTTTGGGTTTTCCATTCACTGATGAATTGAAAGGTGTGGAAGAGGCACTAAAAGGCCTAACAGAAATTGTCCTGGTGGCTTCTTCTCTCAAAAATGTCAAGATAGCATCGTATTTAGGCATTTCTCTCCCTTGCATTTTTCTTTTCCACTCCCTGCTGGTCTCCTTGTCTAATCGTCTCAAGATGATGTGTACTAATGGGGTGTTCCATTGTTCTACGTTCTTTCGGGTTTGAACGTTGTTGGACAATTTTTTCATCTCTTCAGGTGTATTCTTCTTCATGACTGGAGTCTCCATAAGTTGATCATAATGATTCAGAACTAACGCATACTGAATATCATATGTATTTTCCAGTAGGGACCAAGCAACAGAGTAATTCTCATCTGTGATTACGAATGCCTTAATAGTCTCGGCAGCTTCACCTTCACAGGTTCGATTTAAATAATCTAAACGTTGAGAATCAGTGAGATTTTCATTTCTATGAATTGTAACCAAAAACCAGTCTCTATAAAATCGCCAATTGGATAATTTTCCATCGAACTTCTTTGCTTCAAGTTTTGGTAGCGTTTTTAAATAATCAAACGAGCATGAACGTGACATGACTGACGGTGACCTGATGTCTCTGAAGTTCTCTTGGATTGCGTCAGGATGTATAGTGCGTCCTGGCGATTTCAATTTCTCCACAAGGACTCGAATAGCTTCAAAGTCGTCCTCTATTCCGTCATGAATTTCAGCGTGATTTATATTGGGTTCTAGGGTTTGTAATTCACGTAAAATTCCTGGCATATTTTCCACTTCAGTTTCAATTATGCTAAAGTTCTTGTCGACGTACTGAATCGATGCGTAAGCATTCGACTCTACCAAATACTTATGAAATTTTGTCATCCTGATTTTAAACGTTCCACGTTGACTGACTAACGCATTACGTCGAGCCGGCAGTTCCTCCGGTGTGGCTGGTGCCATTGTGATTGAGAGTTTGGCAACAGGGAGTTTAGGGAAATTAAAAAGGCGACTGAATGAACGATCTTACCTTGTTGATGACTGCCTGGGGGTTGACTCTGCAGGTAGGTGGAGGCAAGTGGAATTCTTGGTCTGTCCAGCTCCTGTTAACCACCGGCGTATTTCACGAGATTGAATGCACTAGAGTGTAAAGTCTTAGCACAATCACACTCTTGTGAATTTTTAGTTTATTTTATTAATAAAAGTTTATTAATTGGTTAATTTTATTAATTTAAATGAGTAACACTTCGATTATGACTGTTCATTATACACGTTATCCGGCTCGAAGGACCATTTTTATGTTGGATATCATCAACGCGGTTGACTCGAAAACTTGAAAAATACGAGGACCGATCCCTTGGGGTTGTAAATCCCAGGTACACCAGAATTGCAGCTCGCCAATGAGTATCCAACGATTGAGACGGGAACGTAAACCGTCTCAATGTATGTGGGGAAGAAAAAAGATTGAGTGCGTTTCAAATGACAAATAACAGTTTCACTAAAACACCTTAAATTTAATTACACAAAAAAAATTGATTGCTCAATGATGACACAAATGGTGACACAAATGGTTTCACAGAATTTACATTGTCTATTGAGACTTAATTAATATTGCACTTAACAATTCGATAGTAAAAATAATTACACTTGAAAGTTTATAGGAAATAATTGCACTTCAAAATTTAGAGAAAAACTGTTAACTAAACTGAAGATGATTTGGATAACTTGAATATTTAAACTTGGATAAAGATGAGAGGCTCAGTGAGAAAACGGTCTTCACTGGCCCTAGTCTCGAAGGGTACTAACTCTAAAATTGGAGAGAAAATGTAAAGTTTTCTAGTTATTTTTGGGCAGGGATGTGCAAATTCTTATTGGCTAGGTGATATTGCTATCTTAAAAGTAATTGGTTGAAGAAAGTGGGAGGGCGTATCTGGAAAAACCGTTGGGACCGACGAGAGGCCTTTTCCAACTCTGGCGTACCCTTTTTTTTGCCACTGGGGAAAAATAAGGGATGCGACGGTTTGCTACGTGGACATTTGGCTGGCACATGTTGGGCCCTGCACTGGGAATCCTTCCCACTTTCTTCAATTTCTAAGTTTATGACTCAACGCAATACAAAGGGATTTTAAGTCCTACGTTCGAGTTGGAGAGGCCTGGTCCGTTGTAAAACAAAAAAAAAGGAAAAACAAGTATGAATGGATAAAATTTTCCCCAGTTAAAATACAAAATAAACGGTATCTGCACCGAACAACAGGTTTCACTCAATATTCCATAACTGCAAATAATAAAAATGATGATAATTATGTAATATTATCTGAATCATTAATGTGAATTTCAGACTCTCAAAAAAAGATAGAGCAGAAGTCAAACAATCATTTAAAATTTCAAGTTTCAATTTGATACTGAAAACATTAGGTGATGATATTCTAAGCGTGGAATTATATTGATGATATGAACAACAAATTAATTGAATTAACGGGTGAACTAATTATAAAATTTCATAAGTGTTCACCAGAAATCTACTCTTTGGCTTACGTTCGAGAAGAAAGTGGATTATAATTAAGATCGAACTTTTATTTAGTGAGCATAGAAATTAGCATATGTGCAAAAATTTAAAGCTGATAAATTGGGACAGATTATTTTCATCAGTTGCATTGCTTTTTGCAACTAGAATGATTATGAACAATGAATTGAAAAAAGGAATATTAAATCTGACAGGAAAAACGGCATAATGAAAGGGGCATCAATACCCCGGCCGCTTGCGTTATTATTATCAGTAACCCATCAGGTTATGGAATCAGACGCTTAGAACTGCGCATTGAAATAATAAAGTGAAAACGTGTAAATTGGACTAAAGAGTAAGGAAAGCGTCGTGACGATTATGGACGGGAATGGTGAAGAAAAGGACGTCGAGGGGCAAGACGACAAAACCACCCGAGGAAAGATGAAAGATGGGGATAAAGACAAGGTGTTGAGGCTTCAGTCTCACGTCACGGCAGGTTGGTCCGCTGACCACGAGCGGCAGCACCTCCTGGACACGGACCTGGGTTACCGACCGTGTCCAATTGATTGGGACCGACGACACCTGCCGCGATACTTGGCCCATCTCGTCACTTCCGCCGTCTTCTCTAATCGCCTCGTGACAAGCGTGCATCGTGCAATTCTCTCTCCGCGATTAAAATCTCAAAGTATTGTGAACATCTCAACCGTGAAAATCTCTACCGTGTCTCGACACAATTATTAATTGACAGTGATTATTTTTTAAAAATATTTTTGACTGATTTCTGTGTTTTTAACAGAAAAATACAGTTTTATTGTAACTCTACCCACGCGCACTGTGTTAGACATTATTTTGTAAACTTGTCTACCCTTTCCCCGGATCCCGGCTCTCTATCGGATTTTGTTTAACTCTCGCTGAAACACAAGGAAATTGGTAAGTACATGATTGTTTATCAAGTGAATAAAACAAAAGTGTGAAGTGATGGCATTAAACATGGAAAATAAATGATGCGTCGATCGGGTGGACGAGCTTGGCGGGAACACCTCTCAAACCCAAAATGGCCGCCAAAACGAGCGTCCGCGCAACATGTGGTTGAGAAGCCCTGAGACCCCCACGCGGAGTTGGGGACAATATATTATATCATTATCGAATACTAGTTCGGAGATTTGAGAAGGGACTAATTGAATCTTTTCACATATTGTCATTTTTCTGGAAACAATGTTGTTTTTAAAAACATATGGTTATATATTATGACAAATTATCTGTAGGAGCGATTTATAGACATGAGGGAATATAACGAAATGGTATTCGTTCGATACTCCATAATTGAGTTGAGTTA